ACGATATAGTTTCAGAGAGAGATACTGAACTTGTTAGTACGGTAACTAATTCAAGTACAACTAAAGTGGTACATTTCATCATTAAATATACGCAAGTTTTAATGATGTTCATTGAACGAATGATAATTCTGATTTTATTGCCACATAGCTATCTCCTGAGGCAGGAATAATTAATAAGTTTAAGAAATTAAAGTCGTTCAACTTTAAGTGTGGCAGTGGTGATGTTAATGAAACAGCTTTGAATTGCAGTAATCCTCAAGCGTAATTATATCTTTTACTTTCACTTTTTTAATGGATTTTTATCATTGATATATAATTAACAAACTCCATAAAAATAGCCCAGTTCTTGCTGTTGCATACATTGCTTCTCGAGATCCAAGTTATAATCTACCAGGCAATTTGCAGCTCCTTGATATCGCAAGAGGTAAAATATTTTTTTATTTTGTATTTTTTTTTAAACAAAAGACGCATGTTATAACTTCCAAATTGTATTATAACGACTAGGAGAAGCATATAATCTTTATGGACATGTTGCACCAGATTTAAAATCGAAAATGGGTAATATGTTCAAACACTTTTTTTTTTGCTTATTATTAAATATTGTGAATGACATAATGACATTCTAATTAAATTTTTATTCAGATCTATGGACATCAGTCACAGACGTTAAATTTTCGCCTGACGGAAAATTCATTTTCTCCGCATCTACTGATGCCACCATCAAGGCACTCATCAAGTTTTTTTGTTTTGCTTTGTTGAAATCAATTTATTTGCTCTTCCTTATATATAGGCTTTTTTTTTTTTAGATATGGCAAATAGACGAAACTAGAAATTTTAAGAAACCCTATGACACCAAAGGTAACAATATTATTGCAAATAATTCATATTTTATGGCTTAATTTGAATGACCTAAAAATACCAATTTTAGTGTGTCAGTCACAAATAAATCGATTAGCGGTCAGCCAAACGCCAAAAACAGGTTCTATGTACCAATTTGCTTCCTGTGAAGAATCTGGGTATTTATCAAACTTATGAAGATGTTTTATGTGAAATTATATATTAATCTTTAATTTATAGTTTAGTTCAAGTCCATTTTTTGAGAAAAGACCAATATCAGTTTATTTTATCTTCTCAAGGGTTTCAAGAAGAAAAGTGTTATAGAGCTGGAAGTGACGTTTTATTTGGGCCAGATAACTTGCTCATTGTTGGATACAATGGTGTTTCAGGTGACAAACAAGGTGTTGTCAAGGCATGGGACATTAATACAAGAAAAAAAGAATGTTCTTTGAAATGTTATTTTTCAAGTGGCATTAGTTGTTTGGATATGTCCCATTATGGTAAGTTTAGTATCTACTAAATACGAATTTATACTCAACTGTCGGCTTTATGCGCATTTAGTTATATGCCAATGCAATTGTTTTAATCCTTTAATAAATCAATTATAAAATAATTTATTGTTCTCAATTGTATTATAAACATATTAAATTAATATGAGCATTGGATTTGCATGATACAAGTTACCAAAATTCCTTTGTATTTTATAGGTAAATGGGTCGCATGTGGAACCACAGGTGTTGATAATGAAGAAGGTGATGGGCGCATGTGGATTTGGAATTTGCAATGCGGCTCAAAAGTATATTGTACAACCCAAGAAAAGGATGCAAATGTGATATCAATATCACATGATGATAAATATATAGCACTTGGTGGAATATCCAACACTGTTTATGTATTTGATCCAAGAAAAATGAATATGTTATTATATGCATTTAAGCATGATGGTAATTTAAAATTTTATCTATATTTGTTTATTTTTTTTACATTTTATACGAATTATTTGCTTTTAACATAATTTAAGATCCAAATGATGGTCTTCCTCATGATGGAATAATGTCATTACATTGGATACCGGGTAGTAGCCTGCTTATGAGCGGGGGTAATGATAATTGTGTAAGAATTTGGGATGTAAATAAATGCGGAAAACAAAATCTTTTGGTTTACCAGTTTGCAGATCATGATAGCCCTGTTACTTCTGTTAGATTATCACCAGGTAAATTTAAATTTTAGTTATTAAATTTTGAAATAATTTTTAATAATTAAAGCCGTGTTGGTTTTTTTTTTAGATCTTAGTCTTATGACTGTTGGAGTTTCTACTGGAAAAATTTATGTATATTCTTCAAATGAAAGTTTTATTCAGGCTGGTAATAGACTTAAATATTTGTAGATTTATAAAAGAGTAGATTTTGCAATAATTTTAATTATTTTAAATATAATTTTGCAAACTGTGTAAATAAGAAATATTAAATATATAGTGATTTAAATTGCTTTGAATAGTATATATTTATTTTTAATATTGAAATTATATATTGTATATATAAAAATATTAAATAATAAATAAATTTTTATTTTTTATTAATTTTAGTATTTAATATAAGTTAAAACAAAATGGTTTAAATAATAGAATTAGAAGTTTAAAATACAATTTTAAAAAACAAATTTAAAGTTATTTTTAAATTTTAAATTTTTTAAAAATAATTTTATAATTAGATATTTTTAAAAAAATAAACTTTTTTATTTAAAAGCTTTTAATTTGGATTATTAAATACAAAATATTTTAAAATTAATTTGAAAATTTTAATAATTAAACTAAAATTTAATTATAAATTATATTAAAAATTTAAATTTTTGTATATTTGTTTAATATCTATTTTACAATATTTTAATAAAATAATACTAACTATAGTATAACCAGTGGTTATTATCAGGATGCTATATATCAAAAATCTAATTCATATTAAAATACTAAGTAAAATATTTAAATTTCAAAAATTTAACTCTAACTTAAATTTAAACTTTTATATCTAACTCTATTATATTTTAAAATTATATTTTAATCTAGAATAATTATTACCACTGGTTATTTGTAGTAAATTTTTTAATATATTAATATAAATTTTATTTTAAATTTTTAATACACTATATATATTAATATCAGTATTAGCAAATAAAATAAATAGAACAAAAGCTCAATTTTTTGTTTTTATATAAAAAATATTTTTTTATTAATAATTTGCAATTATTTAAATATATATTGTTAAAGCATTAGTAAAGTAATAAATTTAAAATATTTTTATATTT